GGCAACATTTGCTGCTTGGTGGAGGTCTGTACTCTCTGACTGCTTTTCTACATTTGGTCTAAATAATTTTCTTCCCTTTTTATATATTATTTTATCCTCATCTTTTTTGATGTCTTTTCAATTTTAGCATATGTTTTTTGGTAACAAGCATGCTAGCATGAACACACAAGTGCTCTAATCATTCTTTTAAAGAGGTCCCTTCTCTTTGTTGGATACTGAGAAACACCAGCAGCAGCAGATGTTCTCACACTCAGTATTCACCCAGAGGGGACGGAGATAGAAGAGCAGAGAAAGAGATGCAAAGAGCAGACAAGGTCGTAGTTCCTGTGGACTGTCTTTGAAAGTGAAGGCGAGTGTCCCCCCCTTCCTCCTCCCTCATCCTCCTGTCCTTTGATGTAAAAAGCTGTCTCTTTAGTAGTGTAAAGACAGGATACAATAACCTTAACCCCCTCCAACCCCCCACCCAGCCCTCTGTGCACTGTTTATACACGCACAGGTAACCCAGAGCAACTCTAGCCAGAAATCTGAATAAGTGTGGCAGCTCTCCAGGACCTTTGCAGCCTGCTGGGTGTGTTTATTTCTACATCATGCTGTGTCTGGTGGTGAAAAAAAAAAAAAACTGGATCTATCACCGAGGCGACAAACACTTGAATTAGAAGAACTGCTGCTGATTGAGATAAAATTACCGTACATGCAGCATGTAATGAAAAACAGAACCTTTTTAAGGCTTGAAGAGCCCTTTTATAATGTCTGAAGAGGAGCACAGAGGTATGTCACTGTCATTTGTGAGGTATAGATATAAATCAAATCGATTAAGATAAAAAAAAAAAAAAAAAAAAAAAAAAAAAATTCCAGATTTTAAATGTAAGAATCATATGTCAGAGGTAAAGTGGAGGATTTTGTATAATTTTTAAAAAAAACCAGCCCTCTCTAATAAAAAAAACAAAAAAAAACTTGTACCCGCTCCTGAGAGGGAACATCTACTAAACACGTGCAAGAGCATTCAGGAGCTCATGTCTTCTTGTGCACGCCCTGTTTAAAAGTTGCTGTTTGCACCGCTTATACAAGCTTCCTTTCCAAAAGAAGATTCACAATTTTCCCCCTATTTAAGACTCACCACCAGTAAGTGAAAAAGGTGACAAGCACATAGGACAGCCTTACGTAAACATATCACCAGAATTAGGAGGAAAACTTATTTTGATGATCCACCCGGAAAAATAGCATCATCCACTATACCTTTAAAAGCCTCACTTACGACCACTCAGGAAAGGTAATGGCAAGAGAAAATCAAATATGTCTGAAATCCAGTCGGCTCTTGTGAGGTGTTCGTGAGCAAATCCTGCTATTGAAGCAAAATTACGAGCATCTACGAGCCATTTTACCTGAAGCTTGCGCATGTGCAAGCAAGGGAATTCTTCCAGATGGACGAATCCGACCAGCGGCATCTCTCGGTGCTGACTCCGACGTGAGGTTTTTGGATGTACAGTGTGAGCATTTAGATCACATGAGAGCATCGGGCCGTACAACATAAAAACATACATCATGAGCTGTGAACTTTTAAGCCATTCTGTGTCATCCATAGTTTGAGCTGGGTACAACCAATGAACATATCATACAGTGTATGCCCGCCTTTAGCCAATGGAAAGGTTCGATTTCCAGCCAAACTTGTCACTTGGATTTTTGATTAAAAGTCCAAGTTCGGTTTTATCAGACTATAGAACAAAGACTGGCATGGTTTTCAAAGAGTTTAGAAAAGGCTGGATGTTTCTTTGGACCATTCAGATATCTGAAGCTCAAATATTTTCTTTGTCGACATGTTGTAATATTTTATGTAATTTGGGTATTTATGAACTGTTTTACAATAGCTTATTGATAAATGTTTCAGTGTAGTAATAATTATCAGAGCTCACTCTCTGTTCCTTATACATAATCCATTCTCCTGGCTTTTTTATATACCTTTTGAGTTTAAACCCCTTAACATTTATTTATTGTTTATATGCAGACAGCTCAGTAGAAGCGATAACAGCTTGCTTGTAGTGTCTGTCTCCCCAAAAAAACTCCTGGATCAGCTTTCCTGATTGGTTGACGTTCTAGAGTCCAGCAGCAAAAGGTCAAATTTCTGAACTCCGGTCTCAAATGCTCCGATGCGCTGCTCCCGATGCTCAGACCTCCCACTGGACATCTCAATACCGCTCCCCATAGACTTTGCACGTAAATCAGATGCTTTGACCCCCAAAACCTGTTTCGGTGTGAACGCACCATAAGTCTACCTCTCGGGTAAACAAGATTCAGCCTCATCGTGTTTAAATAGTACCACACCAAAACTCCATCTCTCTAAAGTCACATAACACTAAAAGGGCTGGCAAGTATGGTTCTAAATGATGTGATAAAAATACTGCCAGCTCTACATAAGTTTTGGATCCTTGTTTTTGTTTGAGGTCTCGACATGGAGTAAATGTTTTGCCCATATTCTCCCTTGATTGAGCCCCTCCCAGTCTGATTCATGATTTCTCTTCCATTGCTCTTCAGACATAGGTTTCCTTTGCTGACCTATTTCCTATTTTGCTTTCTCTGCCATGTTCTATAATCACCTGCAAGTAGCCAGAGAGGTGTGGTTGGCTGTTGACCTTAATGGCTTGGGCTGCTGTATAGCTGTTTGCTTACAGCAAGAAAAAAGCTGTCAAAAGTCACAGACCCGTAATCGTCTCATAAATACTTATATTACCATCACAGGGACATAGAAGAAGATATAGTAGTGCTGCTTTGAACACTTTAGGGCCAGAAGATGGAAAAGTTTAACCCTTAAGTTTGAAACTGCCTGCTATGACCTGTGATATACATGGAAGGAAAGCATCAGTGTCTAAACTGCTGCAGCTTCATTTGCCCATTTACAGTAAGTAATGCAGCCTCTTCTTTTTGAGCTGTCAGCTCCAAAGTGGGCATCCTTCATCACCCGCATTGTCACCCTGGACCCCTCTCAATGTCAGTCTGAGGTCATGAGCATGTCTGTCTTTGTCATTTTTGCAGTTTTCACCAATTACCAATATTATTTTTTCATAATTTCACTAGAACTACAGGTTGACGAGTTACTTTAGCTTAAATTTGTGCTCTGATATGGCTGTAACTGCTGTTACTTTGGCTGATAGGTCTGTTTTTGACAACACAACACGTTTTCAGGGTTTATATAGCCCCACCATCGGAGGAGTTTAATGAACACATTGAAAATAGTTAAGAATTATCATTGCGTCAAAAACCCTTTTTCAGAGATGGGAAGTAACGAAGTACAAATACTTTGTTACTGTACTCAAGTAGATTTTTCTGATATTTTTACTTTA